CAGGGTCCCTGCCCCTAAAGGCTTAGCCCATGGGAGAAAAGAGATAAATAATTCTAATGCACATCTGTGGGAGCTGTAGTAGACCCACATGTGCAGATAATGCCATTAAAAATAATTTTGCTGGAAAGGGTCCATGTCTAATACCCTTATGGATCCTACTCAGTTCCTTGAACATGGTAGACACACAATGATTACGAAGGAGCCTTTGTAGGACGTTAGGAGAGCCTTAGGAGATCCCAATCCAGTTAATGGAATACAAGAGATATCATGTGAAACTGAGGCCTTTCAGAGCCTTTCATAGAAAAACCCTTTGGATGAAGTTCAAGACTAATCTTTCTTATTCGGAAGCCCACTCCCTAGCAAATAGCACTGTAGTGGGACTCCAGGGTTATAATAAATGATCATTATTATATACACAGCAAAGCTAATTACTTGGGTCTGGCTGGGAGTTGAAGGAAACGAACTGATTAGGAGCTGACAAAGCCCCTTAATAGTGGGGTTCACAGCACAAACCTCAACCAAGAGTCCAGGGAAATTGAGATTCATTACCTGCTGGCATCAGTTCAGGACGGCAGCATTTTTAGATGCTTGTTAACATAACCGAAAAGATATAGTTTATATCTCAGTGAGAGATGATCGTAAAATATCTGTCTATGGTCTGTCCTGGAATCAGGCCCCTGAGCAGGTCCAGCTGAGAGCACCACTGAAGTGAACGACTCCCATTAAGGCCTTCCGGAGCTTGGGAAAGGCTCTCCTTGTGTCTTCAAACGGGCAAATGGACAAGAGCAGAAAAGAGGGAGGGAATGTGAGAGCCACAAGTATCAAACGAGACTTCATTTGATCCAACTGCTAAGTACTTAGTTCTTCCCAATTTGAGGACATCATCACAAATCACTCTCACTCATCCAGTGAGCCAACAACCACAATAATTGAAAACACACCAAATGGGCCAGGTCCCCGAATAAGTGCTGGGCTTACCACAATGGCCCCATCCTTAAGAAGTTCTTGGGAGGGCAGGGAATCCCTAAAAACATGCCTTCTCTGCAATCCCCACCCCGACCCCGGGCAGAAAGCATCCCACTATTCACCAAGCATAGACAGGCAAGCAGGTCCCAGCCCGCCCGAGAGAATCAGGAGGCAACAATGCACAAACCCACTTGGCCTCTAGGGTCTGCTTTTTTTCTAGCCCAGGGGGCTCTCAGGACCTACGTAAGGACAGGTGACCCACACACCCAAGCAGCGCAGAGCATCCCGGCGGGCGAGGTGAAAGTAATCACCTGATCCAACTCTTTTTTTTTTTTTTTTAAGATTTTATTTATTTATTTGACAGACAGAGATCACAAGTAGGCAGAGAGGCAGGCAGAGAGAAAGGGGGAGCAGGCTCCCTGCTGAGCAGAGAGCTCAATGTGGGGCTCGATCCCAGGACCCTGAGATCATGACCTGAGCAGAAGGCAGAGGCTCAACCCACTGAGCCACCCAGGTGCCCCCTGATCCAACTCTTGATAGTTTAGCTCAGAGAGGCAAAATAACCTGCCTATGACCCCACAGCCAGGTAGGGAAGAGCCAGGACGAGGACCCAGGTCTTCTCTTCTTAGCGAAGGGCTCCCTCCAGCATGCACACTAACCCGGGGAAAGTCAATGTGTTTGCAGGCGGAGAGGACGAGTCAACATTTTGACCATGGAGGGCAGCCCAGACACTGAGGAATCCATTGAGAATGTCAGGCTGGACCTCTACTGTGCCCATGGCTCATTATCAGCTGTGACCTTTTCTAAACCCTCAGCCACTGGCAAGAGCTCTAGTTCTTAACCTTGATGAGGATGGCCGTCAGACATCTGCAGACTGTTCCATTTCCTTGGAGACAAGCGTGGCACATCTGCACTCGGCCTCTCTCCATTCTCTACACAGAGACAGACACGCAGACGGCGAAGTGGTGTGAGCCCTCAGATATCAGGGGCCAGCCATGAGGGAACCAAACGACACAGAGGCTGACCACTGTGAATGTGCACCCAGCTTCCCAGGTGACAGAAATGAACGCTGTGCTTACAGGCTCTATCCAAATCACAAGCACGCCCGAAAGAGACACCAGGCAGGGGTAGAGAAAACAAGACAGGAAGCATCCCTTTCCCAAGCCTGGCATCAAAAGAATCAGATTGAGGAAAGACCTGTTAGATCACCTCTTGTCTAGGCCAGCTGGAGAGGGAAGCCACACTAGCAATTAGCAGGGATGGAGTTTCAAAATGAGTCACAAGGTCCCACGGGCCCCCTGGGGAAGATGCTTCTCCAGCTCAGCTCTCATTACTCAGTAGAAGGAAGCTGGCTTCTCTGCCAGGTGTCACCTCAGCACACAGGTGTCCTTACGGGGGGTGTGATCTTGGGCAAAAATATTTAAGGCTCTTCGACATCAGTTTCCTCATATGCAGATTGGGGACGATGCTGTGGCTTAGGGTACCTGACACATGGAGGACCCAGGGAGATGGGGAATAAGACTGGCCCCTAAGGGCAAAGCCATATAGTGCCATCATCGTGGACCAAATCAGAGGTCTACTAAGTCACCTGCGGAGACAGAATAGGCCCCACGACAGCAGACTGTGAGATGGAAGCCAACCGACAGATGATGTCAGTTGGAAGCGTGAGCTCACCAGGGTAGTGGGGAGGGGCAGGGATGGTGAGCCAGGAAGCTACACAAGTCGGTGATGAAGGCAGACCCTGGCAGAGCCTGTCAAACAGACCCCGGGACAGCATGGGCCCAACAAGGTCCCTACGAACATCCAAGGGACCCATTTATCATGGAACCAGGGGCCAGGAAACATTCCTGCCACACGATTAGTGGACTTACTCCATTTCTCCCTTCCATGCTCACCAAACCACGTCTAACCACGTGCCTTCCCACATCACTTGCCTCAGAGAAAACGTGCTTTTCGGGCCCGTCAGGCTAATGGGAGTCTCTGGCCTGGCCAACCGTTCCATGTCTCAAAGTGAGTAAAGGAACTGGTGGTCGAGTCTGCACGCGAGCCTCTCTGGAGCTCTGCCAGGGTAAGTCTTGGACTCTGGAAGGCCGATCGCTCAGTACCCGGCCGGGAAGCCGCTGAGTGAGGACACGTGAGAGTGGCTGATTTCCCGAGGGGACTGGGTGCTGTGGAAGCTGACCACATGTCCCCAAGCCCTTCCCAGGAGGTCTGATGCAGGGACACATGTCATGGGCGTAGAAGCATCTTGTAATCTGGAAAGTGCCCCCACACCACAACCACTACTTCATCAGATAGGACACGAGGGCCCTCAGCCACCAGCCCCCCACCACAAGAAGGGCTGTGTAAAGCTCCCTGACACACAAGACCAGAGCCTGCCTGGGACTCAGGCTGCCTGAGTCATGAGCTGGGGTTGCACGGGCCTGTGTTTTTTTCTGAGGGTACCTCTCGCTTTTAAACTCACATGGCCATCACCACCCGTGACTTATTTCACTGGCTTCAGCAACTCACCTGCCCAGGGACTCTTAAGAGGACGATATTCCAAAGACATGAAATTAATTCCATGATTAACCACTGCGTGCACACACGTGCAGTGGGGGAGGGGCAGAAAAATGCCCCTCCCCACCCCCCACCACAAGATGGGGACTCTGGCCCCACTATGGAGGTTTATCAAGGCAAAAACATTTCAGAAGTGATTACAAATTCCCTACTGCTTGTGAATTTTTAAAGAGCTCTTTACGAATGGTATTATCATATTCAATTTTTTTCCTGTATAATTCCAGCCTCATAGCCATAACACTTTCTAGAACCTCCCCTAAAGATATTTAGGGCACGTAAGAGAACAAGTTTTGCTTTAATACATGGCAGACCTTTGTATATGTCCATTTGTTGAGAGAAAAAATGGGCGACCTAAGGAAGCAGAGTGGCCCCCGCCGTGGAGTGGTGTCCAGTCCTACCCTGGCCCATGTTTTCGTGAGGAGGACACGGAGCAGATTTACATCCTCGGACCAGCAAGACGACCCCCCTTCCACGTCTCTCTCAACTACCTTTCTCCCAGTTTATGTCGCCTGTGACTACGTACTCGTCTTCACCGTCTAGAGTCCCGACCCTCAGGGTCTACCTCGAGTCCCACCTGAATTAACAGCATCTTGGGTTCAGAACCAAAAGCAGCTTGTGGGGTCTCTGCACTACAATGCCCCTGCGCGAGGGTGCCGCAATTGGACGTGTAAAACAAGGCCACCCTAAATCCAAAAGGTACCAGCAGAGTCAAGAAACAGAGAAACAAAAGGACTCCTCCTATATCCTCAATCTCACAAAGCCCCTTTCCGCTTCCTTCTGGAAACATACTCTCCCCTCTGCCAATACGCACATCTAGCTTTTCCCAGAGGTTAACATCATTCTCCCACGACACGTACAAGTAGCACAAACACAGCCACACGTTTAAGTGACGTTCGCCCCCTCTCTTGTGTCACCCCAGCTCAGAGGAATTCCCCCCAAATGGTTCCATCCTCCTCCCCCCCAACCTTGGCTACAGCCCCGGCTTCCTGCACACGGAACAACAGCGGTGGTTGGGTCTTGAGGGACTATTCCGAGAGACGGGCTGAAGCAGCAGCAACAGGACAACACAGTGGGGCTGGGGGACTGAGGGTGATTCGGGACAGAAGGTGACAGCTGCTAAGGAAGCCTCCCCATCCACCCTCCTGCCAAACCCTCTGACTCGTCATCATGTTGAATTTCAAGTACTTCCTAAGATCAAGACTCCAAGGTCCAGGTGACAAAATGCAAGGATGGCAGGAGGTGGAGCCCTGTTTGCCCACGGGACGCCAGGACATGGAGCCGTTGGGCTGCGGAGGCCACCGGCCTCTACCTCTTCTGCTGCAACCGCGGCCTCTCAACGCTGTTGCTGCCCTGAGCAAGACCATTCACCAGACGAGGAAGAATTCTGTCCAGGGAGCAGCCTAGCAAAGACAAGGCATCCCACACCCACCTTCCCTGCCCCCCTCCTCACTAGCTTCTGGGTCAGAGCCCCTTACCTTCTTCTTCTTCTTCAGAATCACTTTCACTCCATCGACCGAAACCATAATGCTCACCTTCTTCTTCTTGATGTTCTTGGCTTTGAACTCATACTGCAGGGGGAGGAGAGAAAGAAGCACAGTCCAGTCAGGTCAGCGTACCTGCGAGGCCCCAACTAGCTCACGCCCCAGGAGGCGGCCACAGACGAATTCTCAGGGGATGTAAAGGCAGGTGGGTATCTCGGGGTCAGCACCTGGCCACCAGGGATGACCGTGGAATGGGGTAATCCATCCTAACGAGCTGAAGACAGAGCCAGCCTTCAAAACATCATTGGAAACCCAGAACCTTCCCTCAAAAACTCATTCTGATGTTCAACAACCTCCACTGACAGGTTTTTCCTGTGTCTACGCAAATGCGGTGGAAACTCAATTCCATCTTCACTGAGGATTAGGAAGAGCTGCTACCAGTCTTCAGATCAGGGCTGTTGTGGGTTTTTTTCACATATTAAAAAAATCATGAGTTCTAAGTTACTCTCTCTAAGTTCAAGTCTCAAATTCCTTTATCCATAGGTCAGTTTCCAAGTCACCCACAGCTCTATTAGCCTGAAATATTCTGGAGAGTATTCTAGAAGGGATCTGACTAATGGTGGTTACGAGGGAGGGCACTGCCTCACAACCCCTATGGGTCCCTATGCTGCTGACGGACACCGGCCTCATCCTCAACCTCAGACATTCTCCGTTACATTTGCTCATTCCTAGCCATTTCTTATGCCTGTGCAGACATCTGTGATGGCCGGTATAGTTCTACATTTTCCTCACTGAACTGCATCATGAGCACTGGCCCAGTTTATTAAAGTTATTTTCATCGGGTCCCCATCTTGGGAGCAGCTCGTAGCCAATTTCCCCACCAAGCTAGTAAAACATCTGGGCTACAGGTTAAACAATGAAAACACAAGACCCAGAGCCAAGATCTCTACTCCAACCCGCAGCCCCTCTTCTCTGGGACTTTTTATACGCAACACGCTCTCCCAGCACGCCACCAGCCAAGCTTGGCACGGCATTCAGCTCCTCACCGGCACATCTAGAACCTAATTATTTCTAACTAGAAATGAACCCAATACATCCTAATGAGATGAAAACATAACCTACTTTGAACAATCTCATTAGAAATCCAGAACCTTCTATGGGCCAATACTCTGATTTTAAGGATTCAACTTAGAGCTTCCGACCCTGCCTGCCTTCTGTCCCTTCCCCCGCAATCCGAGCCAATCCTACCCTGTGGCACAGTCTGTGCTGATACCCCCAGGCCGGCTGCCGCCTGCAGACAAGGACACGACCTAACTGCAGCCAGAGGTTTTTCTTTCCATCATGAGGGCAGGTTCTGGCTTACAGCGGATTTGAGTTTCCGGTGACAGCAACATACATCACTCCGCGCTCTGGTGGTCACTCTTCCTACCCTGTCAACCGCTGTCCTTTGTGCCAAGGGGAGCTTGAAAGAAAAGCAAACCGGAGCGGCAGGCGTGTGGAGAAGGAAAACAGCAAGCTCAGACTTTGCTTCGGAGCGTGTCTGACAGCACGCACGGGAGGGGAAGCGTGTCAGACCGGCGTGTGGCTCAGGACAGGCCTCAGCCACGCACCTGATCCCTCTCTAGGGCGGCAGCCGTCAGCCGCTGAAGGCCACAGCGTGTCTGGCATGCGCCGCAGGACCTGGCTGTGATCCACGGCGAGTCCCCTGACTGCGCCTTCTGTGCGGGGACAGTGTTCGACGAACAGAAATGACCTCGGGTGGAAGAGCCAGCACGGGAACCTGCCGGTGACCGACTTTGGCCCCGTGCCCACTGGGACAGGTGAACCTGTCCTCTGCGGCTTGTCTTTGCTTTCCTCCAGGAGTTCACTCACAAGCTCCACATACTTCCTCCTTCTGCTTTTCCAGCAATAACAATGAAGTATTAGGTGACCACATCTAGAAAGCGCCATGTCCCTCCCCCAGCCCTAGTTTTAGAGAGCCCACTGCCTGCTAAACCATCTTAGAGGTCCTCCATTTCCAGAAGAATCTGGTAGCAGCTGATCATCTCTTTCTTATTGGATCCACCTCCCTATTGGTTGCCCGGTCCCTAGTTTTTAAAAGTCAAGATTCCCCCCACAGCCAAGGCTGGCAAGGAGGCAGCCAGCCAGCACCCGGCCCACGCATCTGAAACTGTTTCTAGAGCTCACATCCTGACAAGATATGCCTTTTCATACCCTGATCTGAAGAGACGACGTAACTCAATGTCCTCTTCAGACCTGGAACACAGCCTTCCCCCTCCCCCCGATGGCTCTTCTGGGCTCTGTGGGCACAGGGCCTACCAGTAAAAGTACGACCAAAATGGCTGCCCCAGAGCCTCAGTGACAATGACAAAGCAGGTACCACTCCTGACAGCAGCTGGTGGAATGCTCTGGAGTGCTTCCATACAAACGGGGGCAAGACAGGCATGAAACGGGCCCCGTTACGGCTGCCAGGACCGCCCGAGTGACATTTAGAAGAGTTCGTGGGCTGCTCACGTTCTGCACCCCTGACCCCTGCCTGGTGCGCGGGTGTCCCTGACCCTTTCCAGCCCGAGAGGAAATACTCCAACTGCGGGTCCGCCGGAAACTCCAGAAATCAAAGGAAATGAAGTGTCTGCACAAGGCTGAACAGTTACTCTCCTGAAACTCGGTTTATACAGCAACTGCACTTCACTTGGACAACCGGGATATTGTGCTCGTGGGGGGAGACGAGACCGACCTGGAGGCAGGGGAGATCACAGGAGGGACCAGGAGAGCAGAGGGCAGGGGCTCACAGGGACAGAGGGACGAGCCTCCTTTTCCCCAGGCTGTGTGCTCTGGCTGATGGGGGGCGGGGGCTCAGGCTCAGGAGGAAGCATGTGTCCCGCAGGATGGAAAGCTAGGCTGCTGTGGCTCTGCCAGGGGGCGAGGAACAAACAGGACCCCGGGGCCGCCGTCTGCACCGTCTCCAGCCTCCCGCGGAGCCCAGGCCAGCTCCGGAGGCCAAGCCAACCAGCCAGGCTCCCGCTCCGTGCGGTCAGGCTGACCCGATGTGCTGGCTCTGCCAGCCAGGGCCCCGCCACAGGGATAGATGAAGCCCTCCAGACCACAGTAACGTGCCAGGGGTCCGTCACCAGAGCCTGGGGACCTGGTGGTGGGACGGAGTGCTGTGCTGAGCAGCGGGGCCCGTGCAGGGAAGGCGGGGAAGAGGGAGGTGTTCAGGTGCAAGGGAGCCTGGAGGAAACCTTCTCAGCTTCCAGAAGGGAAACTCCATACCCAGGAAACATGGGGAAGCAGGGAGACGGAGCGTGGTGACGGTCACAGGGCAATGTGAGTGCTGCATGCAAACGCCATAGAGCAGTTTTCGAGAACGGTGGAAGTGGAAAATGTTATGTCTATCTTACCGCAATAAAAAGATGAAAATTGTAAACACGGTACAGAAATACAGCCCTCCTCATGGCGGGGCCACTTCAGCTCTGCTTGCTTCTACTTCTGTCCCTCTCCCGCAGGCACGTGGAAGAGGCCCCCCTCTTCCATTCTTCCGGTTGCTCTTTCCTGTGACTGGGATGCCCCCCTCCACCTGCGTGGTGGGCTCCTGCTTCTTCTGGAATTATCCTGGGAGCCTTCTGCACTGCAAAGCCTCGCAGGTCCGCAGCCTGATTCCTCCCCCCGGGGCTGAGCCATCATCGGGGACTCGACAGCCATCCACAAGCCTCTAGAATCACTCCCCACTGACTGGTTGTTGACCTCCCCGCTAGGCCAGGCCCACCCCTTTGAGAACAAGAAATAGGACCTATCCGTCCCCAAGAAACTAGCTCCAGGACACGAGAGGGTGATAAAGGAATGTCAAATAAATTCACGAAGTCAGTAGACGGTGGTTATTCATAGACCCCGAAGGAAACGTGACACGGTCCGCAAAGGTAAAATAAACATTCCTGAAGTTAATTAATAAATGAACTGAAGTTATTAAAACCTAGATTCCATTTTATCAGCACAAGGGCTTTGAGAAGATCTGACTTCCCGAATTCTTCCTTACTCCACACACACTGCTAATCATCTTAATTTCTGCTGGCTCCATATACTTCATTTAATAAAATGATTCAGCTTTCATTATTGATCAAGGCTGTTCCCAATCATCTGATGGTGCCAGAGGAACCTCTGTTCCCTGGGCTATCCTGCTTCCCTAAGTTCCAGCTCCTGTGCCTGGGCAGCCAAAATATGAGGGACGAGGTGCTCAGGAACTGTGGCAGTGCTTGGCCCCACCGGGTAGCACAGTGACTCGAACTGCTCATTCTTGTGAAGCCACAGACATGTGAGCAAGACTCCATGTCACTCGGCATCAGGGAACTACAATCCACAGTGAGATCCCACCTCACGCCCATCAGAACGGCTAAAATGAACATGTCAGGAAATGACAGATGTTGGCGAGGATGCGGACGGAGAAAGGGGACTCCTCTTCCGCTGTTGGTGGGAACGCAAGCTGGTGCAGACACTCTGGAAAACCGTATGGAGATACCTCAAAAAGTTGAAAATAGAGCCACCCTACAACCCAGCAATTGCATGACTAGGTATTTACCTCAAAGATACAAATGTAGTGATCCGAAGGGGCACCTGCACCCCAATGTTTATAGCAGCAATGTCCACAATAGCCAAACTATGGAAAGGCTCCAGGTGTCCATCGACAGATGAATGGATAAAGAAGATGTGGTGTATATATATATATACAAAGGAATGCTACTCAGACATCAAAAAAAATGAAATCTTGCCATTTGTAATGATGTGGCTGGAATCAGAAAGTATTTTGCTAAGTGAAATAAGTCGATCAGAGAAAATTATCATATGATCTCACTCATATGTGGAATTTAAGAAATAAAACAGGATAGTAATGGAAGGGAGGGAAAAATAAAAGAAGAAGAAATCAGAGAGGAAGACAAACCTTAAGGGACTCTTAATCATAGGCAACAAACTAAGGATTGCTGGAGTGGGGGTGTTAGGGGGATGGGGTAACTGGCTGATGGCCATTAAGGAGGGCACATGATATGATGAGCACTGGGTATTAAATAAATATATATTAATATTTATATGATAGT